CTGATTGAGATTTCCACTCATTGTGGTTTTACCAATGTGAGCTATGGTGGGCTGGTATGACTGGGTACATCTAGATCATGTAAGGTAATTTTTTCTTAGAGAATCGTCTAAAGGTAAGGATGTTCAAAGGCAATTGGAACCAGTTACGTTTTATGATTGCCGTCAAAGCAACCTCTCGTAGAAAGGCTGCAAACCATTGTACTGCGAAGAAAATCACAATTGGCTAATTCTCAAAGAGGCAAATGACATTTTGGTCACGGAGCCAAATTCGGTCAAAGTGACCAGTTGCCAGTGATTCATACTCAAAATCGTCACTATGTCAATCTTTTCAATCGTATTTCTACTTTTCACCAATTTTTCATATTTATGCAATAGCCGGGGGCATCTCGACGCGAAAATGTCTGCCAGTAACGCGTTTTGCAATTTCTACAAGGAATCGCCTTCTACCGCAAAGAATTGAACAACCGCCAAAAATCAGGAACTTCAAGAAATCCATCAGAAAAACCGTAAATCTCCTCGTACACCAAAAGAGTAAAAAATAATTTCATCTTTCGGCCAACACAGCCACCAGCCTCCAGAAACCTGAAACACCGGCTCTGAAACCCCCCTGGGAGGCACGGGTGTACACCTTCTTCACGTCTTTTTCTCCCTACTCCAACCACCAGATCCTTCTTTTCCCAGATGATCCCGACAACGCCACCCAGGAAGACAGTGGCTCGTGAGCCTGTGACGCCTTCTTCAACAAGATGTCACAAGAAATCAAACGGTCTGAAACCCATGGTTTCACCATTTCTCACTCCTAGGACGTCTAGGAAGCACGCAACTGATATAATAGGACCTTCTCCGAGGCAAACGAGCATTCTTCCTACGCCACTGACAGTTGGTAGTGGTAGAAAAGGAAGAGTTCTATTCCCAGATCAAAAGTCACTGAAATCCCGTAATCTTACCGCCACTCTTCAGAAGCTTAGCGAGGATAACCAGAAAAAGCAACCAACCACACCACCCCGGCCAACGACACCGCAGGACCAGATTCTCACCGAGCCTTCTACTCCTTACAGCGCTGGATTAGGCATCTGGGGTTCTGACAATGACACGATACGCGTGGTGAACGTGGACGATCTCAAACACATTCCTCGCAAGAAGCTTCCGAATCCTTTTCTCGAATCCCATGCGCCCAAGCCAAAAAGACAGCCCACTCAGGTCGATCTAGCGACTCAGATGGAACTTGTGAACCACCGTACAGGGGAGCGCAAGGTTGAACAATTACTGGAAGAGCAGCGCAGGTTCAAGCCCCGCAAGCTCGATTTCACACTGGCTGTGAATCCAGTGAAGGTGAACTATAACATAGCCAACAAATTTGTTGGTAAGAACATGGGCAAGGCATTTACGATGGAAGATTCAAGCAAGCAGGGCTTCAGTATCTTCAGCGATGGGGATGTGTCGAATTAGTAATTTATTAATAAATTGGATGGTAATACTTTTTTTCGTATAATACATTTACAGCCAGGCCCTCGTCTCCCGGTACTTTTTGATGTTGTCCCAGGCTAACAGGTTGGCGTTTGGAAGCTTAACAACCTCAATCTGGTTGAGCACCTCAGGCAACTGCTTGTCTGGGTATGTGGCCACATATCTAATGGGCTTGCTGATTTGCGAAACTGGATCTCCATCTTGGCCACGAAGCTCAAGTGGTAACTTCCTCATGATTTCCGCATGATCCGTAGGTAGAGTGAATCTGTCGGTGATGTCTGGTTTCATCAACTCGGCGAGCTCTCTAGTTGGCTGTGGAGGCGCCAAACCACGGGACTCAGCATTAAGACGAGTTTTCTCGTATTCACTGAGCAATTCCTCCTTCCTCGTTCTTCTCTTTTCTTGCCTGTCAATGGCATAGAGCTTTTCAAAGTCTATCATGCGGAATTTGTAGAAGTTGGCCCACGTCAGCTGTGAGACTTCTCTGTAGGAGTTCGCTAGAACGTTGAAAAGAACAGTACTGTGAAGCATTTCTAGATTCTCGAAATCTTCAGCAAACTGACGCTGGCGGTTCACAACAACTTCAACGTTGTCAGGAGTGTAGAAATCATGAATCAAACCCTTGACACCACGGTCGAAGCGCTTTCGTAATGGTTTCTGGACCTTGTGTGACGGAAGATGTGTCACAGCGTTTGTTTCAGGTAAAGAGTCCTTGTTGAACATGCGAATCTTATTGATTCTGTTCACCAACGCAGCGTCTTTGTAATTTCCCGAGCCAGGGCCCCTGTAACTCTTGTAGTAGTAATATCTGGAGTTGAGAGCCTCCTGGTCATTATTCATGAAGAGCTGCAGCACCTGTTTTGTTCCCTTGCTGTCAGAGAAGTTTAGCTGCAAATCGGTAAGATGTGGCTTGTATGTGTTTATGAGAGCGGTCTGCTGCGAGTTCATCAGACCGTTGCTGACGAAGTAATTGGGAACTTTGCAGAGGGCGCCCACCAGGAACTCAGGGATGGCGCCATTTCCGGGAAGGATGTTTTCAGAAACATCAAGGGAGTTGGGATCCACACTTGCAATGTGTCGCCTTGTTCTACCCAATGGTTTCTTGGAGGCCGAGATCTGATCAACAGGTTCGGTTTCCAAGATCAGGTTTGGGTTGAAAGCGGCGTAGTTATTGCTACCCAGGATAAGCTCTCTTTCATAAGCACTGAGAGAGGTGCCGTAGACTCTCCTATAGTTACCCTCATGCTTGTAGACCTGCAACTTTGTGAGAGGAGTAAGTGTTGTGAAAGTAGCATGGTCCTTGGGAATCACGTTATCCTCATTGCCGTAGTGAGGGAACACCTGGGAGATAGTAATGGTATCGTCGTCGGTAGGTGGAATGATTGGTCTCTGACGGATAGCTGTATTTGTGACTAGCTCATCGTGGCCTACCAATACATTTTCGTTTTGAACCACAGAATGAATGAATTTGAGTGACACATAAAACAATTGACTTCTGGCCTCCAAGGGTGTAATTAAATTCTCTGCAAGAAGTAAACCATTGAGCTTTTCATCAGTTTTGTGCAAGAACTCCCCCTTCCGAATCCCGCTCTTCTTCACGATTTTGGCAATGACCTGGTATGAGCTGGGGTAGTTCCAGAGCTTGGCAAGCAGATTCACGAGAACATAGTTGTCGTTGTCGAGATTGAAGAAGTCAACTTTCCAAGGAAGCGAGGACGAGAAATCGGCTTTTTCCTGTGGTGGTTGAAATTTGACGGGTACAGTAGAGCGAGAATAACCGTGAGTGTTTTTACCACCAGTGGCACGAACCACGGAAACCGAGGACATGTTGTTTGTCTTTCTGCTGGTAGGTAAAGAATGTGAAGTAGTCGGTGAGTGCACGTGCCATGAGGCACGTGACATGAAGGGAAATGGATTGGATTCGATGAAACTACGAGTTTTTGACGGGCTGAAGAATGTTTTAGATTGGGTGGATGGACATTTGTCAGTCAGAGGAGGTCAGCGGGCTTGGTGGCTCTTTGGGGGAGAGATGTTGGCGTATGTCCATACTGCGACTGTCTACCCTACCGTACTTAGAGGAACTACTGGTGCAATTAATGGAAAGGTCGAACGTTTGATTGGGGATCCAAAATTTTATTATTTTCTCTCCCAAGCACCTCTCATTATCACACGACAACGGTTATTGCCTATCGCCGTGATTGCCGTTAACAATGGCGAAGTCTCAGCTTCTGATACACGACAGATTGCCCTTTTAGGCTCCTAGTTACTGGGGTAAGATTGCCAGGTGAAAGTGGATTTAGCGAGTTAAAGATTGCTAGTGAAGCTTTACAAGATTGTTAAGAAGGTGGATCAACTGAGGAAGAGTATTTGGGCGGTATCAGGTAAGTAACCTGGCGCAGCAACAGTACTATGGCATCGATGATTCTACCAAGTGGTTACAAATCGACCAAAACGGCACCATACTTGAAAACGGAGAGTCAAAAAGTCAAACTTCGATTTCTAGTGGATCAGGAAGTTTGAAAACCAGGATCGTCTAGTACCCCACCCCATGGTTAGAGCTGTGGCTGCGAAATACAGAAGGACCCTCTGAAAATCACATTCAGCCTCAAAATGAGAAATGAGCTCGTTTGACGGTGAATAGTGAAGCGTCAAGAAAACAGAACAAAAATCATGGATGGTGGTTTTTTCCGTCTCTTAAGTACCCAAAGCAGCTTAGCTCGTACCCCGATTCCGTCTTCCGTGGATAATGCAGTAGTGACGTTAAGCGAGCAGCACGGCACTTAGACCGGACCATTTCCACAATTGCTCCAACGGTTCCATTGTGCTCTGGACTGTTTTGCAGATGTAGATGGTTTTTCATCATCGAAGGACGCTTTTGAGGGCAATAATGAAAATTGAATATTTAGAGTCAAAATTTCAGTTCAAGTCGGTATTAGATCTACCAGTACTAGTCCCCTAGGCCATGCTGGATAAACCCTTTCCCCTTCTCCCTCATCATAAACTTCAAATCACCAATATTTACCGTAAAACTCAATCCACCAATACCAACCGCTTTCAATTCCCTGGTAACTCACCCACCTAACCCTCCGTCACCTGGCGCCTAGTTCCATTTGCGATAATGCACCGAACGCTCGGAGCTCGACCCCACATACAAGCTTTCATGGTTGAAATTCTTGAACAAAGGCCCTGAAGTACTCCACAAAAAGAACGGAGTTACCCTCGACTTTTTGATCCGCCACACCAGACCTCGTTTTCTCGATAACCACAACACACATTTTTCGCAGCCATGCACCAACAACGACAAATTCCACAAGAAAGACAAAAAGCCTATCCAGCTTGGTCAAGTAACTCTTGTAAACCCACCTCAAACAATAAAACAAGACAGAATTCCATTTTTCCTCATTATCCCGCCATTAGGAGTCCACCGGATTTTAACCGCACCCTCGGTTCCCATCCATACCCCACAGGGGAGCGCATATGAAGAATGATATATAGGTGCCCCAGAACCCACCATTTTTTCGCCCTCACCAACCATGCCAGACGAGGAATACACCGACATTTTGTACGAGGTCAAGGACAGAATCACCACCATCACCATCAATGTGGAGAAAAAACTCAACGCCTTGAACGGTCCCCAGTACCTTCAGCTCGCCAAGTACTTGGATGAGGCCGATAAGGAGGAGGACACTGTGTGTACCATCATCCAGGCCAAGGGCAAGTACTTTTCTGCCGGTGCCAACGTCAGAGACATTTCTGTCATGAACTCTGACCCTTCGGAGGTGTTCAGCCACGAGTTCTGGCTCAAGAACTTTGTCGGCAGAAACGTCTACTTGGCTGACTTGTTGCACAACCACTCCAAGGTGTTGATCTGTGCTCTCAACGGTCCTGTCATTGGTCTTTCTGCTGCCATTGTCGCCTTGTGTGACTTGGTCTACGTGAACGACGAGAACAACACCTACATGTTGACGCCGTTCTCCAACTTGGGTCTTGTCGCCGAGGGTGCCACCTCTGCCACCTTGTTCTTGAGATTGGGCTGGTCCAAGGCTTCCGAGGCCTTGTTGTTTGCCAAGCCTGTGCCAGGTACCGAGCTCAACCGTTTGGGCTTCTTCAACGGTACCTACACCGGCAAGGGCTTGACCACAGACCAGTTCAACGACGAGGTGCACAAGTTGATTGTCTCCAAGTTCGACGGCTTGTACGAGCCATCCATCTTCGCCAACAAGAAGTTGCTTAGACACAACCGTGACACACTCATCAACAGTGCCAACGCCAGAGAGTCCATTGTGGGTTTCAACAGATGGATCGAGGGCATTCCTCAGCTGAGATTTGTGCAGATTGCCAACAAGGAGATCAAGCACAAGCTCTAAGCGTCCGGCCAGTCCGGACTCAGCATTGAGCGGTAGAGACCTTTTTAGGAATATATTTATAGCCAACGCAGTGTAGGCCAGAGGAGCTGTGGTATGAGTGGAAGCCAAATCAGCAATGTACGGTGGACTCTATTGCATTCATCCACACTTTCGATGTTCATTTATCAGTTGTGGTGATTTTTCACTTTCTCCCTCACTATGTATCCTACCAAATGCAACGCTACAGTCGCGATGCTGAATAACTCCACATAACTCTACCTACTCACCAATAACCTTCAACAAAATCTTTTTCTTCATAATCCCATAGAATCCCATCAATTCCATCAATTAAAACATCCAATTCCACTTCTCCTTCGTTTCCCCCAGACCACCCCGCTCACCTACACCATCTCAGATAAGTCTATCGCGAAGTACACCCAATTCATGTTATGTCATACAACCTACCGTGTCCGAGCCTCGTGGGACTCATTCTAGTGGCATCCACGCATAACGGACCACACTTCTCCTTCTGTTATCCACAAGATTTGTTCTCTGACGAGTTCAATCGCAGAAAAAGGGCTACCTCAGACCTCGACGATGAAGATTATGTTCAAGACGAAACAGGAGATACGCCCGATGAGAGTCTTGACTTCAACCATATGAGCTCTTACTTGGGCACTAAGAAGGATATCATCACCGTTTTGGACAACCAGGAGCGGCTCAAACGAGAACAATGTGGTGATGCTCAATCGGCTTCAAGCATCCACAATGGACGAAGCTCTCTACGCCAGGTGACCTCCAATTCGAGTAAAGCATCGACACATCCACCGGAGGATACCGGTAAGATAATGGGTTTTGATCGTGAGTACCTCAGTGAGATGCTCTGTCCGCCTCGTCTGATGTGCAACAGTCGTTTTGAGGTGATGATCGAGAACGTGGTGTTTTTGGGCTTGCCGATTCATATTGGTGCTGACGGATCGTGGCGCCCAGGAAGACTGGAACGAAAACGGGACAAGGGCGACGATGAAGACGAAAACCTGTCAAAAAATGCCATGTCTATGTTCCATTTGGTCTTTGTGCTAGAACCACCTGAAATCGAACGCAACTACAGAATTGACGAGATGTTTTATTGCGTTACTTCGAAACTCTCCCTTGTGCTACGCTACGAGCAGCTGAAAAGGGACTACGTGTGGAGCCAGATCCGTCTCATTCTGAAACTAAAGGAGGAGTGGAGAACCCAGACCACGCTTCACGGTTCGCTGATGCTGGAGTACTTGGTATCAAAACTGTCTCTTTGCAAGCTTATGGCCGATTGTTATGATGCTATCTCTAGCAGCAAGATCGCTACACTTGTGGTGAACAACAAACGCAAGTCGTTCCAAATACCAGTCAAACTGGAGTTCTCGTCATTACCAGAGCCGACTGTGCCTTACATACCTGGCTCACATCTTTCTTCTACAGCCAATATGCTCTCATCCACAGGGTTGGTGAATTTGGGAGAAACAACACGATACCATACCAAAGGGCTCATGAACTTACTCCTTGATGGAAGCCTTGCTACTGGTAACTACGGCGCAGGCGAAGAAGTGAACTCACTGGACGACGAGGATGCAAACGCAACATCCTCTGAAGATATAATCTACTTTGCCATTCTTCTCCTCGACAGTCCCGAGGTGATTATCAGGGATCTCAAAGCAGAACCGCAAAGTCAACTAGCTCGCTTTATCAGGCTAGTTCGTCCGACCGAATCCTTGATCAAGCTCACAAACAAAATCAAGGCACTAAATGAGGGAAAGTCAATAAGCATCTCACAGGTCAAGTCGTTTGCATTTCAGCTAATATACTGGCGAAAAGCCCGTGTGGTGACTCCGCTCAACTCAAGAGCCATCTACATTGTGTCCCCCATGGCTCCATTCGAAAGCAATTTTAGAGATGATATCAGGGCATTCAAAGAGAACTTTGCGACCCTTCCATCGTTACCTCAATTCCTTAAACTCCTTTCAGCGAGATCGAGGAAACCCAAGCAGTTTGCTACTATCATTCCTTCACGAGACCACAAAGATCTTTATCTTCTGGCGCTTGCGTGGCTTATACGATTTGGCTATGTGACGCAATTACATACCTATATTTGGCTCAAGATTCCCAGGAAAGTGAAAATGAGAGTCGAAGAAGAGGAAGAAACAGAGAGAGGAAGAGACCCGAAGAAGAAGCGGGAACTGGATAGTGCTCAGAATCTGGCAGTGGTGGACAACAAGGTTGAGGTTGACAATGTCGTCGACAACAAGGTGGAGTCCGCTGCAGAGGAAGCATCCTCACCTTCAAAAGCTAAAGTGCTACCACAAAAAGGCTTTCCAGGGTCTTTGGATAGCGAGATAGAAAAGATTGAGAGCAAGCTTGGTATGGCAAAAATTGCGTCCAATGTGATTCTTGAGGAAGAAGACGATACCATTTTGGTTGATCCAGGACGGGCATCCAGCATTCAAAGAAGGTGGATCAACAGAGTAATTCACGAGGAGTGCAAACTTCCTCCCGACCTCACCGCCGTCTTCTACAAGCTTCTCAAGTACATGAACGGTAAAAACTCTTTGGAGCTTCTTCTACTCAAGGAGAATGTTTCCCGAGTTGAGCTCAGGAAACTTCTTCTAGCGATTGAGGATTTTATCATATCCGTCAGACACTGGTAAATATTATTACGATGCATTATTATGTACAACTCAAGAGAAGTTGTCTTCCTGAGTAGCCTCAAGTTCATTTCCTTCAATCTCGTTGAAGAGGCTGAAATGAAGAGGGCGATGTGATTCGTGATAGAATGGCAAGGGCAAATCCACCACCAAGTCAAAGACACCGTTTGGATCCCAAACGGGCCCAATAAATGCGTAGTTCCAGATTTTGTCATCAGGTACCAAAAACGTACCCACAATTCGGTCTGACATTATGAGCTGCTTCTTTTCGCTAAATGATGGACTGAAACCAGCAGGTGCGTTGGAAATCATGTCCTTATTCGAACTTCCCCAGTCATAACCACTCTTGTTGAGTCCGAAGGCGGTTAGCGTAACAGAGCCAGGTGTAAGTGCAACGGTCAAGGTAACCAAGTTTCTATTCCACACTGCCTCGTTCTTGTTATTAAAGCCTGCAATGGTTGTCACATCAACGGGACTCAACATGCCGAGGTCGTGGTTTTGCGTATGAATCCAGCCAAGTAGTTCGAGATCTTTAAGGTATTCATGCTGGTCATTCTCGATAAGCTTATTAGGAAATTGAATGGAATGAGAATTGCCAAGTTGGGGAACCATAACGATTGCTTTGACCTCCTTGATCTCCTCATTATCAGTCGGCGAGGTGCCGTAGACGAAACCACCAATCTGAGTTCTTGTGTCCGAAATCTGAACAAACTTCTTGAGAAGATTCTTTGGCATGATATAGGTGAAGCTATCATCGTCTTCGAAATCCTCCGAGGTGACATAGATGTTCTTGGTTCTCAGATGTAAATTAGAAGCAGCGATTGCTCTATTCTGCCATTCATTCTTGGAACTAAAGGCCAGTTGCTCGTAATTTGTCGTCGTGATTGTTGTGATCTCTTCACCATGGACGTTTTGACTTTTGGTCTTCAAAGCGGTAAGCTGCTGATTGGCATTTGCAGCATCTGGATCTTCCTTTGTTGAGTTTTCCACATCGGCGATCTGTTGTCTTTTGGCTGAAGGAGCCTTCACTTCCTGACCCAAAATCAAGTCCCTAACCTCAGACTGGGTCAATGATTGAACATTGACGTTATTCTTCTTGGCGAAGTCATTCAAAATCAAGTCTCTCAATTGTGTCTCGACGTCAATCCACTGCTCGTCAGACAATGTTGGCCAGATATGGTTGCTCTGAGTAACAACGCTAGCATCAGGGCGGAGAATCATATTCGTCCTCTCTGGGCTAATTCCCATTGCACGCAAAATCAATATAGTACGGGAGAAAGCGGTGTATGAAGAAATACTCTCGAGCCAGTTGTCATAAAAGTTGAACAAAACCATCTGTGGTTCGGTGGCCTTCATGACCACATCAGACAACTTGTCAATCTTGAGAGCTGCTGCGAATGGAAGATGGAGTTCTGAAGACCTGATGCTAATGTTTGGATGATCTAACATGTGGACCTCAAGGGGATCGAGCATTCCCTTTCTTGTTGCAATCAACTGCTTTGGCTGCTCTTCACGGGGCAAAGATCTGACCAAAGCGGCAACCTCCTCTGCTGTCTTCCATTTTGCCAATTGTCCAAGACGTTTTTGACCTGCCCACACAGATACATGAATGATCTTGAGGAACAACTGTCCAGTTTTTGGGTTGAGAATGAAGACAGCACCATTCACAGGCTTGGTAGTGAGGTTGCCCTCGGTTGTTCTGTGAACTGTGACTCGGTAAACATTCGTATCATCAATGAAAAGCTGTGTCTCATTGTTGAACAATTCAGCGTAGTTCGATGAGTTCAACAAGGCAACCTGAGGTTGAGACTGGTACAACTGAAGTCCTTTTCTGACACGCTCACGGAGAACATAGAGGGCTGGGTTTGCTTTCATGATCTCCTTCATGGCATTCTGCATCAATGGCTTGAGACCGCTGAACCAGTTACCGTAAATGTCATAAACGTTGTAGGCAAGATCCACTCCAACCATGGCTCCAGTTGGTGAGGGGTAAGAGCTTGTACTGTCTGTTGTGTAGTCCAAAAACTTTGCTCTAGTGTATCTGGAGATGTCGTGAGAATCGTAGTCACCATATCTCAACTGAACATCAACCCAATACTTTGTTGCTGTGGCACTATCGAAAGAGTCAGCCTTATCGTGCAAAAGAGAGGGCCTGGAAACATTCCACTTGTAGGTACTGGTCAAGACAATGTCAGCGCTCGAGGAATTCATCTTGTACGACTTTCTGGGGTGAACAGCCTGCTTTTCAACAGAATCCACATGCAAGACTTCAAGCTCCTTGTCTAAGACCTGACAAATATCTTGAACCAAACTTTCATGAATCTTCTGCCATAAATGAGCTCTGAAAATCTGAATGAGCGAGATCTTCAAAGTTGGAATCTTACCATGAAGGAAAATACCCGTCAAGTCAAGTTGAACCAAAAAACCAACATACACGTTAGCTCTGTTGATGGTAGGCGACCACCAAAGAGTAAAACGACGGTTGGGAATCTGACTCAAACCAGAGCGCTGAGCATTTGTCAACTTTTTGAACTTCAAAGAATCTTCAAAACCGGAGGCCTTCTCCCAGAACAAGCCTTCCCACGAGTCGAAACCTGTTCCCTTGAAAAGGGTGTGCTCAAGAATGGTATCAATGCCACCGAGAGCTTGTATCACATCAGTTCTGTAAGCTGCAAGGTTCCACAATTTACCATCATGATGACTATTCGTCCACCAAAATGGGTTGCCACGGCTCAAAGCAAAAGACTTGAATTCTCTTCTTGCTCTGTGACCCTTATCGTAAGCGAGAGTTTGACGATCTTTCTGGAAGAGTGTACTGATTCTCGGTAAACCACGGTCCCAGCTTGACTCCATGTCTTCAAATGTGATACGACGATTTTGTTCGACAGCTTCCTGCCTTTTGATTGCATATTCTGCCCAAACTCTCTGGGAGTCCAAGAATTCGTTCTCCCAAGTTGTCATGTACCTGAAAATCGTGGGTATCATTCTCTCCTCCTGATGGTTCATACCAGCACGGAAATGTGTAATTCCCGTATCAGTCTGCTTAGACCACTTGAGGTCAGATGCTGGAATCAAAATATGCGAGGCACTCAACATTCCAAGACCACCCAATTCTTTAGGAGTATAGAAAACGGCAGGGGGAAATCTCGACGGCATCTTCGAGTTCAAACCCATCTTGACTCTGTTCTGAATCTTGGTCTCGCACTTCACGAGGACGTCTAGTAAGGATTCCGTTGCCACGGTTGCCTCACGGAAGTATGCAAAAAGTGAGATCAATGCTGTGTTCCATTTTGCTCCCACCTTCGTAAAAGTAGCTGAACCCGAGGACATCAAAATCTGTCTGATCCTGTTCTGGAAGCGTTCAACTTCTTTTTGAGAAACCTTGAGGAAAGCTTTAGCGGTACGCTCTTTGTTCGTTTGATTAACAAGGTCCCAGACACCTTCCTGAGATGACAGATCCTCCGTCATCCGACTCTTTGGCAAGATACGCACTTCGAAACCACACATCGTGAAAAGCAAGTTTGGATTCTCAGGAGAGTAAACAGATGCAAAGGAATCCTTCCACTCCAATGTCGTGATCGAGGTTGGAATTCTGCTCGACACCTCCCAGAATACGGCCTTTCCTAGATTCACGTCTGGGCGCATGAGACGCATCCTCGAGTCTTTAGGCCAACATTTATGGGTATTGTAGCCAATGAGGTTGCTAGTGTTTGGATCGGGATTATCTAAAAGGAAATCCGAAACCAAAGCATCAGCATCTTCTCTTTCGAACCGGAAAAATATGTGGATTTTGTCCATGTATCTGCAGTAAAGTCTGATAGGGTTCGCTTTCTCGGTCTCGGAGTCCTTGAAGTTAAGGAAGCTATTAGGCAGTTGCACAGGTCCAGCGATATCCGTCGCCCTATCCAATCCAAGAATCAAAAGATCAATGGCCAAGCAATAGTATTGGAAAATGAAGGATGAAAAGTGTAAACCCCTGATTAAACCATATTGATTGACATGATTCATATCTTTGTATGACAAGGAAATGTTATTCTTGGATGTGATGTAGTCCGCGATGTTGGGATCCACAATGAGTCGAATTAGTCTGTTGAGAAGAGTAAAGTCAATCTTCTCGGCAACCTTATTCAAAGATGTCTCCAAGATCACATTGCTTTCACCGTGCGAGGTGTCCCAAACATCCTCGAGGTTGTTCAAGCCTTGACACCATTTGTAAACGAGCAAGGGTGGAATTTCATCGTCAGAGGGCTTCACCCAGTTGGGGAAAAGCATTCTCTTATCCGCCTCATACCACAAGTATTGATCAAGGTATGCGTCTGTGATCTTTTCCAATGGATCGATAGTATAGACTGGAGACAAATGATCGTAATGGTCTACCAATTCGAGACCAACTTCCTTGAAAATTCTTTGTGTCAAGAGATACTTTTTGATTCTGGCCAAACACTCATTGGGGTTATCGTAAGCCTGCTCAATGAGAGCAAGCTCTTCACGTTGAGCTGAGTTCAACCTAGCATTCGCATTGAAATTTTCTTTGAGATTCTCCAAGGCGAGAACCAACAATTTGGTATCATGCTTGTATGATATAGGAGGGAATGGGATAGGGTTGAACTTTCTACTCTCGAGCCACTGAACCATGGTTTGAAAGATGATCACAGCTTGATCCGGTGTGACGTATGGACCGTCCTTAGAAAAGTCACTTTGTCTTGTCTGTTCGTCCTTGATCCAAAGTCTTGTGAGACGGCCGAGATTCTTTTTCACCATGGACTTTTCCACCGTGGCACCACGTGTAATACGATCACGGTTATAGTGAGCAATCGATATCCATCCATCTGCCTTGGCCTTGATGTAATGTTCAATAATCTTTTCGATCGGCTCTGGCAAGCCTGGAACTTTCCAAGGGATATTAGCTTTCCAACACCTCCATGCTTCACTCAAATGCTGCAAAATCAAGGCCGACTTGTTTTGTTTCAAACCTTCAGGAATCATATCCAAAATATCATGCATGACTTGAGCTCTTAATTCCAAATCATAGTAAGAGTCAATTCTTTGTTTGGTGACGGTCTTGACGACATCATTGCTGCGTCTACCTTCAAATTGACGTGCAAGCAAATTACCAAGCCATCTTTCGAGCATAGGAATTGTTCCTCTGATGAAGGATAGCCAGACCCTCCAAGCAGGTTGCCAAAAACCACAACCCGGCCCCTTTCCAATAGAATTGTTGAAATTGGAGTAGACGACATGTTTGAGGTCTTTGCAGGCCCTAATCTGGTGCATCACCTTGTACTTGTAACGGTAGATACCGGTAAGTTGCCCGATATGATTCAAGGTGTAATAGATACCATCAGCCAACTGGTAAGCGTCAACTTGACCCAAGCGAAATTGTACATGCGAATCCACAAGAATCTTGACGATTCTGAGAAGTTCCCTGATGAGGTGAAAGGCATGCCCGAATCTTGACTTCTTTCTCTCTTTTGTTGTCAAAGTCTTCGTGGGTTTGAGGTTGAAGTTGTAATCAAGATGAAGGTACGTAAGACCACGTTTGTGAAGTAGCAAGTTGAGCATATTGTGACCTTGCCTGCAAAGTTGAAGACCAGCTTCTACCCAATCAATCGATGTTTGTTGAAAGTACTTTGTTTCCTTCAAGCTTTTGAGAAGACTAACCTTTCTTTGGTTTGCCTTTCCAGTTTTCAGGCCAGGAGGGTTTTTGAGCTCGTTGTGAACGTAACCCTTCAAGAGCTTCTGATACGAGACTCGGGTCTTGACTGGAACATCGCGAGGGGGCCTTTCTCTGTACCACGACTTCACGAGAGCAACATCTTGAGCTCTGACAGTGGAAGTCGAACGACGATTGAAGGGGAAGGGAGCCCACCAGAGTTGAAGCGCATCAGCTGTATGTTCTGGCTCAAGAGGCAAATTGACATCAATGCCGTCTTCCTCTGTGGTCGACATGAATGGAGCAAAACCATCGGGCAACTGAATTTCATCGAGACCAAAATCGAGAAAGCTCTCTTCTGCCTTCTTCACTGAGAACTTATGCGGCTCAATTGGGTTGTAGTCTTGGGAAAAGAAAAAGGCTGGTCCGTCTTTATCATAATCGTCCTGTGGAACTGTGCGGATATTGTCGTGGTACCAAGGTACCTCCACATCTTTGACGAAGGAGTTGTAAAGGTAAGGATACGCAACCTTGTATTCGGTCTTGATGGGTACTCTGAAGATGATTCTGTCGATTGCGTTGAACTCGGTATAGTCTTCGAGCTCCTTGTTGTTGATCTTGTCCTTGAACAATGGCTCAAACTTGGGTCCTCCGGGAACGACAACGTTCAAGCTCTTGGCTGTGAAGAATGCTTCCTTGTTAAAAAGATAGTAATAGTTGGGATCGGTGACATGCGGTAAAAGAGGGATCGAGAGTCGGTATAGCTTCGCCATGGTGGCAATATCGAGGTTCCAATGCTTGTAGGATTCACCATTAATTGATCCGCCCTCAGATGCTTCGATAAAAGGTTTCTCATCGTAGAGGAGCTCGGCAATTGCTGCGTAGTCTGGGCTCTCGTCTGTGTCGAGCTGAATGGGGTCTGGAAGGGTCACTTCGTCCAAGTTCTCCGACCAATCTATAGGCGGCTCATCGTCGTCAAATGGTGGAAACCGCATTCTTTTGAAACGTCTTCTGTCTCGTTTTTCTCGTCTCATCATGGTCCATGCCGTGGCCCATTGGGCTGTGTAAACGGGCTCAATGACTCGTGGAACTTCATCCACAAACGTGATGGCACCAGTGATATGGTAGAGTACAGAAACTTCTTTTTCTTGTTCCCACGGCTGAGGCATGTTTTCTAGAAGCTTGAGGATGGCGTGAGGCATGTACTTGAGAGAACCAAGGTGTGATCTCTTGTCTGATGCAACCTTCTTCGATGAGAGATCGCCATGGTCTAGCATGATCTTTCGTAGATGCTCTGGTGGCATCCTGGCCTTCTGTGGTTTGACTATGCCTGCCTTCTTCTGGGTCGATGTGGTGTCTCTGAATCGGAGTTTCTGATGCTGGAGCCAGTCCCTTTTCCGGGCCTCTAACTGCTCCTTTGGCGAAGTAGCCAGTGACGTCTTTTGCATCTTACGAGGACGCTCTTCTCCTGCTGGAGGAGGTGGCATCCTGGCAGATGGAGGTGGAGGAGGTCTGGCTATAGGCCTCGAGGAGCCATTTCTATGCACTGCAGGTGGCGGAGGAGGAGGCGGGGCTCTAGTATTAGTGCCTTTTCGACTGCCACTGCCTCCAGGAGGAGGTGGAGGTGGAGGGGCTTTGGGTGGCATGGAGTTGTAGTTTGATAAGCCGGATTATCAACACTATGAGATGCTCATCATAGGTGGTGCACGGGTGTGGACGGAGTAGGATGGGGATTCGGTAAGGTGTCACTAGAATGAGTGTAATGGTTAGTGAAGGGGTTTCATGGTTTCATCTATATGAAGTTCAGCTATTGGCTGGTTTTAGTTGCAGAGGTTTGTGAAGTGTCTAGTACATAGAAAGAGTGCAGATGAGACACTGTGAGACGTAGAGTTCAAGATGGTATTTTGCAAGGCAGGGTACCTATATGTGAAGCATCCAATTGAATTTAAAAGAGAAAAATTCAAGAAATCAAATCTTGTGATACTGGTGTGGAGTGGGCTCTATTCTCCTGCAAGACGATGGCTCTCCTTGTCTAATATACTGCAACCTTAACAAGCAAACCACGGCAGGTCTCATTCACAACTTCCAATTAACTCATCAATATCCTTTTTTTTTTTACTATTTGTCATTTTATCACTCTGTCACTTGACCACTTTTTATCATTCTTGCACTATCATTCATCCACATGTACCATGTCTCACTCTTCATTGAGCCCCAGATTTCGCAGCCAAAGGACAAACCCTACTAACTCCCCAGATTACCCCACCGGAACCTTAAAAACAAAAAATCAACCCATCCCCATTGTCAGCCTCCCGTAACACAAAACCACATCTCCACTAAATCCCATCCCCAGATTCCCATCTATACAAGAACGGTCATCCATTGTTATCCGGCTATATATGGTCCGCGCGACCCGTGAATCCTGTCAAATTATCACATTCAGCTCCACAGCAGGATGGTCGAATCGTCTTCACCAAACTCGCTTGACCCGTCCAAAAACCTATTCAGTGCTCTTCTAGACGCAATAGCTGAACAGTCTCAATATGCTGATGATAACGATATAAACTGGGACCGCTTTGGTTCCCTTTCAGCTTACATATGCTCCTTCTACGGCTTCTCCACCATGTTCCTAGCATTCATCCTCAACAGAACGGCGATATTCGCCTCGGCCCGAGCCAATAGCCGCCCTAGAGCCCGCCAGATCCATAATCGTGGCTTTTTGGGTGCAACGTCCAGAGCTGATTGGCCCTTTGCCCTTTGCACTTTGCTTCTCAGACTTTCAGCAATCGCTGCCTTGGGATATGCTATGCGTAACGTCCTTGTGGTGCTCAGAATCATGAAGAGCAATGCTAAGGATGTTGGGCTGCTTCCGCTACTTATACGACTCATTCCCGACGACTGGTTCTTGTATGACCCGGTCAAATATGCCCAAGATCGGTACATGAGCATGCCCCGTTCCGAGGTCCGTTTCGGTCCAACTTCCGACATGCTCTATACGGTGTACTTGGCGGCTAGCTACCTGGAGTTCATCGAGGTGTTTGTGCTGGCCATTCTGGGTAAAACACCAAAAGTGGGCCGGGCCATTACTATCTTGGAGCTTTCCGTTTCTCTCCAAGAGGTAAGCTCAGGATTCTACTTCCTCCGTAAGTTTACCCCAGCAAAGCGCCCCACAGAGCAGGTCCTCATGGTTTGCATGTTCCTGTTGGCAGATCACATCCTATTCCACATTGGCACCCTCTTGTATGACAGAAGATATCGTTTGATTCCTCTGTCGGTGGTCAGCATAATGTTCATACTCTACCACTGGCGCTGTCTCTGCAACGGCACCTGGTTCAACTTCCCCGTTGTGATAATTTCAGCATACACCTCGCTTTTGTTCCTTTGGGCCGTGATCATTCTGTGTGCCTTGATATTCATACTAGCCATCATTGCCAAGGGATCCAAATACGAGGAGCTACAATTTGCTAGTTACTTCACTGGCCCCGAGGAAAGTAACGAATTCTTCTCAAAGCACATAGGATGCTCCCTTGACGATGACTTTTTCCTGTTTTCCCTGAAGTTGAGTCTCTTTGCGATCACGCTGGCCGGAAGATCGAGCTACATCACCGAGTACAACTACGTAACAGGCTCACAAAGTACCTGGGTTGAGCAGTCCATCACAGATAAACTTATTTCAATGTTCGGCGCTGGCAGCCTTAAAAGAGACTCTGACTCCACACAGAGCAGAAAGATTATAGCCTACTTGAAGGAAAACAAGGTCAGCGGTTACGGCAATCTTGTTGACAAACCCCCTCTTCGTCTTATTTCTCGGAACAAAGACGAAAAATTTAACTTCAAGTTGCAGGGCGCCTGGAGACAGCGTTTCTTCTACCTTCGCGAGTCGACGATCCGTTTCACTCAGCTTATCAAGGCATTGGTGGTCGACACTTTTGCCCTTTATCTTATCCCAAGACTTTTCCGCAAGTACATATTGAGGAGGCCAATTAGCCTCTGGGGCAGCGACCACGAAACTGAGGAGGAATACCGAATCCGGCAGAATAGAGCACCCAAGTTTGTGCAACCTTTCATCAAAAAGAGGGAGCCCGTTACGGATGGCACACAAAAGCTCAATATCAATTCTGTGGCAGACGAGGAGCTTGCAACACAGTATTCGTCAATTCTCCAGCAGATGGAGCTCGACGAGGTGGACGAGCTGCCTGATTTCATTCCTGACCTGGAGCTTGAGTCAGACTCGGATGTGGAGTCCGTCGATCTCACTCATGCGGTGATCACCCTGTCTCTGCAAGAAACACCGTTGGGAGAACTCATTACGTCGGAAAATTTACTTGAATTTCTTCAGGGAGACTCTGATTTGCTCACTCGGCATCTTGACTACGACGCTAAAGAGGGTATAATGACAAGATCCCGCTTCAGGGCACGCAACAAACCGGGGGTGCATGAAGCTGAAGAACTATTGGACCTCATTATAGCCAAAAGGGCTCGGGACGATCGCACAAAGCCCCGCCACGGGCGCACCGATATAGACGACGACGATGACGACTTGCTTGATGCACGCATGGCTTGTGTGGTATGCCAAGTCAATATGAGAGAGATCATTACATGGCCGTGCAAGTGTTTTGCGATTTGCGAGAGCTGTCGACTCAGTCTTATGGCGAAAAGTATGGAGGGTTGTGTGTGCTGCCGCCGTGACGTCGAGGGTGTTTCTCGAGTCTACCTTCCATGATTTTACTGCCAAGGCCCACGGGGTTGTCGAGACCAGCGTCAATTGAGCTGATTGCACTTGCAGGCCTTTCATTTGCGGAAGCGAAAAAAAGCGAATTACACAAAGCGTTTCCGTTCGAGCCACATTGAGTTCCGAATGTCGCCTAAAAGGGTCTACTAGGGTGGTTGCAAAGGCATTCTCACGCGGGAGCGCAAATTATAGTATGGGCCCCTAGGTATGGGCAAGTTCCGCGATGCGTCTTTTGTCCAGCTTTGGCAGGACACCCGTGCACCATCCACCGTTTCTCAGAACCACAGTAGGAAACATTAAATAGCGTACCAGTCCCGTTGTTCCGTGCCCCATCAAAAAAAGCACCTCGTTTTGGAACTGGACCAGGATTCACTTTCAAAACCTCATAAAGCTCAGCCTCGCGTACATTTTCCCGAATTCCCCCGTCGTGCCTTGATCTACAGGGCGCCCCCTAATTACACCGTTCAAGATTTTTAACATGTCAACTATCGAAACTGTTACCGCTACGGCGACGGCGATACCGCCTACAGCGGAGTTGTTGGAGGCGGCTTTCCGGAAGTACGTTCTCCGCTACTTGAATATGCTAGATCGTATTCCAGGAGGTGCTGTTCTTTTGCGTTACATCAAGTCCTCCTACAGAGACGATCCAATTCGTTCTTTGATTGAGTACGCGTTGATCATTTTTGCTGCCACCTACTTCTTTACTTCCAAAAAGAAGGAGAACAGATCTGACTTTTTGGCCTTGTCGAAGAGAGAGGTGGACGAGCTCATTGAGGAATGGCAGCCTGCGCCTCTTGTGGAGCCTGTGACTGAAACTGAGAAGTGGAGAGTCGATGATTTGATTGTCAAGGGCGAAAACTCTGCCCATATCAAGATTTTGCAACACCCAGAGATTCCTGAAGTTGTCAATTTGGCCAGCACGGATTTCCTTGACCTTAACAGTGACCTGAGAATGAAGGACGCGGCAAGGCAGACTATCAACACTGCGGGTGTTGGTGCCTGTGGTCCTCCAAACTTTTATGGTTCTCAAGATGCTCATGTTCGTTTAGAAGAGGACTTGGCACGCTACTTGAACACTGACAATGCTATTCTTTATGGTCAAGACCTTGTCACCGCTGGCTCTGTCATTCCCGCTTTCTTGAAGAGAGGTGACTTGGCTGTTGTTGACAGTGGTGTTAACCAGGCTATTCAAAAGGCTTTGATTGTCAGCAGATGTGACATCGAGTGGTACAGACACAACGACATTGACCATTTGGAACAGGTGTTGAACGAGCTTCAACCCGTGTTGAAGAACCAAAAGCCATTGCGCAGAAGGTTCATCATTACCGAGGGTCTTTTCGCTTACTCTGGTGAGCTTGCCAAGTTGCCTGCAATTGTTGCTTTGAAGAACAAGTACAAGTACAGATTGTTCTTGGACGAGACATGGTCCATTGGTACTATCGGAAAATTGGGCAGAGGTATTTGCGAGCACTACGACATTAACAGAGATGAAGTGGCTATTACCATTGGTTCTTTGGCCAACTCTTTCTCCTCTTCCGGTGGTTTTTGTGCTGGTGTCGAGCCTATGATCCAGCACCAGAGAATCAACTCTAACGCATACGTCTTCAGTGCAGCCCTTCCACCTTACTCGGCTAGAGTTGCTTCCGAGGCCGTGAAGTTGATTTCCACTAATGTGACTAGCGAGGGCGAGTCAGAGCTTCTCCTGCAATTGCACAGAAACCTTGAGCTCACATACAAGACCTTGCAGAACAACTTCCAAGACTCGAAATACTTGGAGATCAAGTCTAGCGAAAAGAGTCCCATTATTCATTTGGGCTTCAAGAATGACTACAGACAGTCGTTGGAGCTTCCCAGCATTTATGGCAACAATGTTTTGTTGACAACTGGCAAGCCATCGAAGAAGCCAAACCCACCTAGCGTGAGCTACACGTTAGAGAGCTACATCTTGCAGAAAATCATTGACGCTGTTCTCGTCAAGGACCACACCTTGCTCAACAGAACTAGAATCATCTTTGAGCAGGAGAACTTGCCCGTTGCAAGCCCAAGGTTGTTGGTGCAAGTCAATGCAGGTGTTTCAGCCGAGGAGTTGGAGAATGTCGCCAACGACTTGCCCTCTGTGGTCAACGCTATTTGTTCCAGCATCGAGCTGCCTTCTGATTTGGAGACGCTTTACAACGAGATGATCAATCAATAATTACATATGCTAATGCCGCTGCCATTAATACCCTCTGGCCAGCGCTGTATAGAACTATAAGGGATAAAGTTCCATTAATACGTCATTCGACCCCGAGCTTCTCTAGCTATTGCCCTAGCTTCTTCGACATCGTGCGCATTATTGAAATTAAACTCTTTCGCCAAATCGTACGCCTCATTGTATCTCTGGTTTTGCAAAGCGTGCCGAGCAAGCCAAAGCCTTGCTTTTGAGGTTTCATCGCTGACACCCCAGTCAAACTCCTGCTCCAAGCATAGTTTCATAAAGCGGTAGGTCTCTTTAGAACGCCCAAGCTTCTCGGAAATGTTGGCGAGCTTGTAGCAGATATGAGGCTCGATGCTCACATGAGGCTCCTCTGAGTCCACCTCATTGAGACTGTCAATTGCCAAGGCTTTTTCAAATGAACGAATAGCCTCCTCCCATTTTTCAATTTTCTCGTAACAGTTGCCAATTGCTTGCCACATACGCTTATCCATAGGCTGTAGGTTTGTGGCTCTTTGGTAGTAGTACAAGGCGTACAAATGCATATCCAAGACTTCGTAGGCCTGTCCTAAGCCGTACCATGCTCTGAAATCCTTGGGGTTGATATCGACAGCTCTTCTGTACGACTCGATAGCTGCGTGAGAGTTTTTAAGCTCCACGAATTCGTGACCCATAAGGGTCCACGCACTTAGGCAGTTCTTGTTTAGTAGCAAGGCACGCTTATAGTACATGATGGCCTTTTCGTGCTCTCCTTTCATTGAATGGTAGTTTGCGACAATGCAACATGTTTCTGATCTGTAATTGTCGACCTGCGAGGCGTAATGAGCGAGGTATGATAGCTTGGATTTCTTCTCCATCACATAGAGCATGTTGGAGTATGTGTCAAGGTCATCGAGCCGTAGCGGATCTTTTGCAATAATTTCGTCAAACATTTGCTCCGCCTGGAAGTAGTCAAGACCATGGTAGGCCACGAGGAAGTTTTGAATTTTAAGGAAGATGAATTCGGGGAAGAGCTCAACCAACGACAGCACCTTCTCGGTGAAAGCCTCCAGTTGTTGGTAGAATTCCTGGAGAAGCACGACCTCGAAGAACTGAAACATGATGTGCCCGGCAAAGGCAGGCTCTTTTTTTCTCACTTGTTGAATGAAGACCTGGGCTTCCTCAAATGTGGGGATGGTCGCTATGAGTTCTTGCCAGCAGCTCCAGTTGTATGGAAATAGTTTCACCGAGCTGAAGAGACGCTGCTGTGCCATGGAATGCTTCTTTTTCTTGTTGTATATGATTCCAGCCAAGAACTGGAGGTGAGCATTCTCGTCGTTCTTTTCATGGTACAAATCAATGTCACCCATTATCTTCCCAAGGTTGCTATTGAGCTCCTCCACGGTCTCAGGGCGTTCAGTACTACCCTCTTTAAGCATACTCTGGACGTGCAGATAGTTGATGGTTCCATCTGTATCCTCAGTAGCCTTCTTGTCTATGCTGAGGTACATGGCGTATAATCGTAGGAACAAGGCATCACCAGAAACACAGTTGCGTAGCGTGTGTGCTGCACGTTCGAACTCTTTGCAATTGAAGTAGTTTTTCGCCAACATGTACAGAAATCGATCTTCCTTAGCGGTCACTTCTGATGTAAACTCAAACAGCTCCTCGGATTCTGCCAACCCTTGAAGAGCCTCCGTGACCCATTTGGCTGAATTGTACAAGCACAAATCATCTAGCTTTCCTGCAGCCTTGTAGAGCTCCACCTTGAGCTGGTGTTTTTGAGACATGGACTTGTTGATGGTGTATCTGCGCGCTACTATTATCAACTACTAACCATGGTCCAAGAAGCCGACTTGAAACAGCAGGCTGAACAGCTTGGGCTGAGTGTGGACTCCATTGACGAGCTTCTCAAATTAGGTGGCGATTTATGCAAAGGTGAAGTGGACTCCGACAAGGTCAAGGCGGCACAGAAACATGCTCTTCTAGACTCATTGAAAGTGAAGAGGTTCCACAAGCTGTACAAACAATGGGAGAATCAGCGTCGAGATGATTTCATTGAAAAAGAAGTCAGAGCATACAACAAAAAATACGCCCAGGTGACTCGGTTACACACTGAATTGGCTGAGTTGGACGAGCAGTACCAGGACATGAAGAAAAGCGTTCTGCTACCAGCATTCAATTTTCTGAGACAGACACTCCAAGAGTTTGAACAAGGACGCTTGCTAGAGGGCTTTGAAGAGAATTCGCTGATTTCTCTAGACAGCCTCTACAGTCTCGATCCATCTACACAGACACCACCAGACTACCAGACATTCAATAAGCTCATGAACCTAGAATTTCGTCTCCGAACGATATCGCAAATTAAGTATGAGGTGTTGCTTCGTGTGAGAACGCATTTGGCGTCAAAGAATTCTCAATGGGCCAAAAGAGATGTCCTGCTTAACGACTTCTTGCGTTCTGTCAGAGAGAAGATTGACGAGGTTAAGAAGATCCGCACCGCTGAGTCTCAGGACTTGAGAGACGTCGACGCCGACTTGGATATTGATTTCAGCGACGACGAGGATCATGAGAAGGAGGATGACGACAAGGACGATGAGGAGAAGGATGGCGATGAACACGACAAGGAGCACGACGCTGAAGATAATGACAATGAAGAGGACGGAAAAGAAGGCGAAGACGGCTCAGGTAATGTTGATAGTCATATGGAGACGGAAAACGAGTTCGCTGAGGATAATGATGGGAACGACAGTGAGGAAGCCGGAGACCACCAAGAAAATGCTGACGAGCCAGATGGGGAAGATGCGCAGCAAGATGAAGCAGACACTCATGAAGAGAACATTGATGACAGAGAGGAAACTCCGGCACTTGACGCCGAGCCTACAGATATGCTTATCGACTAGTGTATTAGAATGCTTCTCGACTAAAGTGACTAGGCCTTCTCGGGCTCGGTGTTAGTAGCAGGCTCACCATTGAAAATATAGTGGAAAACCTGGCTGGTGTTATCGCCCTCGGCTCTTCTATATCTCACAATTCTCGTGAGCTGGTAGCCGGCTACTCCGCCGAGGAAAAAGTTCACCGAGGCCAAAAGGTAGTTTCTAGGTTTGATGGCAAAACCGGCCCAACGAGTCCAGATGGCACCGGTGGCGAAAAGTGCCAATTGCTGTGTACCCGACAACTTCTCGACGGGTCTTTGAATATCGTTCAATCCAGCAATAACCAAACTCCATTTGAACACAGGGGCCCAGAAATGCACGGTCTTGGGGCCAGTCTCTGCATTGAGGAAGCGTTGGAATTTCGAAGCGTGTCCAGCAGCAGAAGCCATGATGTGGGGGTTGTGTTGGTAAAAAGCTTTGCCAGATTGGCTATCATTACGGAATACTCACTTCCATAACTTCCCCATCGATATTTTCCTGCACACTAGACCTGAGTTCGGCTCCTCTTCCGATTTGCAGCCATTGCAGCAAATTAAATATTACCATTATATTACAATTCTATTATTTAAAGAATTAGTTGTTGGCCTCACACATGCCTCTGAAACGGCTGTGTGGGTCGCGTAGAAGTGCATCGGGAGAGTCATACTCCTTGACTTCTCCATGGTCCAACACGAGAATCCTGTCGCTGTCCATGACAGTATCCAACCTGTGTGCAATTGTTATAATTGTCTTTTCTTTGAATTCATGACGAATTGTCTCCTGGATGATTTTGTCTGTTTGCACGTCCACGGCAGCGGTGGCTTCATCCAAAAGTAAAACTTTAGAGGGGTTCAAAAGAGCCCTTCCCAAACAAATAAGCTGTTTCTGACCAGCAGAGAAGTTTCCACCTCCCTCACTGACCGGACTATCGAGACCCTGTCCACCATCTAGACGCTCTACAGTCTCTTTGAGATTGGAAAGCTCCAAAACTCGCCACAAGCGTTCATCACTGTGCTCCTTGAAGGGATCAAGGTTGTCACGGACAGTGCCCTCAAACATATGTGAATCTTGCGGTATGATACTGAGGTTATGTCTAAGATCGAAGAGACGAAGCTTCTTGGTGTCCACCTGGTCGATGAATATCAGACCCTCACTGAGAGAGATCATTCGGAAAATGGCCAACACCAAGGAACTTTTTCCTGCTCCGGTACGCCCAACGACTCCAATTTTTTCACCAGCCTTGACAGAAAAGGAGATGTTGTTAAGCACAGTGTCGAGGTTTTTGGCATATCGAGCGGAGAAGTCTTTCACGTCAATAGCTCCTTCGCGAGGCCAACCGGCACCTGGTTGCTCAAACTTATCGTCAGCGTCTTCCTCAGGCTGTAATTCGGCATACTCCAAACATCTTTCCACTGAGACAATATTGGACTCCACCTCTGCAGAGAATCTGACAATCAAACGAAGCCAACTGGTAACTTGCAAAGAGTAACTCATCACGAAACCCACCATACCAGCGCTTAAAGCAGAGGATGAAGACGCTTTGTAAATGAGAAGAGACGAGGAAACCCAGATCAAAAGGGAGCCCATCATCTGCAATCTTACCAGAAGCCACCGATTGACCGACCGTAACATGTAGAGACTCTGAAGGTTGAAATCCACATTAGCGTCATTAATGAAAAGAAAGCGCTCTTGCTGTCTGTAGGCTCTTATAGTATCGGCTCCAGTCAAACTCTCTTGGAAATGAGCAAATATGGGTGACCGTGATACCGAAACAAGCCTTTTGATTTCTCTTTGCACTGCAACATAGTACTTCTGGAAATACCGATAGGAGATGCCCAATACTATCAAAACAGGGAGGGACGAGGGAATGGCAAAGACGACAATCACCAATGTCATGGTCGTCCTCAAGCATGCATTCAAAAAATTGTTGAATGACCTTGGCAAGGCATCATCAACCTTGTTCACATCGTTACTAAAACGATTCATGATTCTTCCAACCGGAGTTCTTTCGAAAAATAACATCGGCACTTTCATGAGTCGACGAGCCATTCGTTCATGTATAATCTTTCCACCACGAAGACCCAAGAACGCCCAGAATAAAACACCTCTGGCCAGGGTCAATATACTTGTAGTAAGACCCAACATGGCATAAATCAGAATGAATCGAAGCGCTTCGGAGTTGTTACCGATATCAGAATTACGCTCAGCCCACTGCTTAAGCCAGTAAGTCGTCCTCACCGAAATCAAAGTGGAGGCGACAAAAATGGCGACCCACACAAGAACACCACTTGTCGAACACGCCTTGATGTAGTCGTAGTAGACGCTCCAATTGACTTTTCCTTTCGCCGAGACCTCTGCTGACTGAGCTGTCTTCTTTGACAAAGTGTTCTTTTTCAATGGATTCCATTCGAAAGGTGCCAAGCTGGCTTTGCTGTATGGAGGCGGCTGGGAGCTTTCTTCTGGTGTTGGTGACTTCGATACTTCTGTCAGGCTGCCAAACTCGGTGATGAGACGGTTGAGCTTGGGGAAAGCCTCCGGACTGATTTCATCGTAGCCGGCCTCCTCTAAGATGGAGCCGTTTTCAAGGTAGTAGATCTTCGAAGCACTCAGAAGCACAGGAATATTGTTTGTAGCGAGGACGATTGTCAGCCTGGCCAAGAGTCCCGATCTGCTGAAGACCTGTTGAACAATATTTCTTCCCACATGACTATCCACAGCACTCAAGACGTCGTCAAGAAGATAGATGTTGGCTCTCGCGTACACTGCACGAGCTAATGCTAGCCTGGCCTTCTGCCCACCAGACAAAGAAATACCCTTCTCGCCAACTTGAGTGTTATCGTTATCAGGAAGTATCTTTAAATCTGGAACAAGCTGACAAGCTTCAATAGTACGTTGATAGTAATCTTCATCATATTCATGACCGAACAAAATGTTGTCTTTCACTGATGCGTTCATGATCCATGGGTTCTGAGTGCAGTAAGCAATACTGCCATGCAAGCTGATGGGAGAAGGCCGTTTGTGGGGTGATGAGGCATGAATGGCGACAAGTTGACCAATTATTGATGATAGTAAAGCTGACTTTCCGGACCCCACTCTCCCAACAATACATACGAGGTCGTTCTTGTTTGCTTTCAAGTTAATGTTTCGAAGAGCATATTTGAAGCTAGCAAAATCCATGTCTTCCCTTATCTCAGTGGTTTCAGGTTTGCTCCACAAAAATGACACATTCTGAATCTCAAGAGATGTTGGGTGGTCGCTTGACTTGATGGAAATGAGGCTGTCGTCAACTTCGGGGCTGCTGAGAAAACTCGTAATCCTGTCAAGTGCCACCGAACCCTCGATGATGTAATTAAAGACAGCTGGGAAGTTGAGGATTGGCTTGGAAAGGATTTCAAGCAATGTGAGGGCGGGAAACACAATGTCAGAAGTAAGTGGAACAGTGCTGGTGATAGCAAAAGTTGCAAAAGTCGCAAATGACACCAAAAATGGAATAAGAATCCAGAGAAAGCTCGACACTTGACCAAGCAATCTCTTCTTACGAAGATTCGTCATTTCACGCCCATTCCGAATATCAAGAAGGTGCTTGAGCATGGGGTTTTCCCAGGAGTAGAACTTGATCGATCTCATGGACACGAGAATCTCATTTGTCACTCTGTTCCTCTCATCCTTTATCTTCATTTGCTTCTTAGATAGACGCTTTTGAAAGCGAACAATTATAGCATTCAAAGGGAAGGAGAACAAGATCACACTTGCTCCAGCTAAACTTGCTTTACCGAGCAAAGCCCAAAGAGACAACATACAAATGACAAACTCTGTCGGGGCAATCACCAATGTGCTTATTTCTTGAGCGCATGTTTGAACTCTGGGGGCATCGATAGAAATTAAATTGACAATGTCGCCGCTAGAGCGTTCAGATAAAGCCTGACTTGAGAGTCTGAGACTTTTCTGAAACACCAATGACGTGAGAGAGGCTCTGAAGCTGAAGCCAAATTCCTGGATTCTCATCATAAAACGATTGGTCATGGATGTCTGAATAAGAGTCACAAAGAACATGCCGAATGAGATGATAAAACCTCTCAACACAGGGACACTAGGATCAGAAACCTTATCACTAACAAAGAGGATCAAAAGCCTCAAAAGTTGAGGCTGAACAAAGTTGAGCACCTTGTCGATCATCTCATACAGAAAGGAAATCAAGCCCAACGGTCCAAATGCCTTCACTAGAGCCCAAAGCAAGCCTCGCTTGGTGACATTGGGATTCTTTTTGGGGTCGTAGAACTTCGAAAGACGCTCCATATAAAGATCAGTGGATATTCTCGATGGGATCTCGGGAAGGTCGAGATGATTGAGAGTGCCATTTTCGTAGGAGCTCGTAATGAGTTTGTTCATCCATGTAAATGTGATTTGCTCCACAAAGTTCGGTTTCTTCAATTCTCGAGCTAACTCTTCGTTATTCAAGTAGTGTATGAGAAGCTCGTGAGTCGGTTTCCATGTACTTTTGGAAGCCTCGAGCAAAAAGACAGCAACAGATAGAATCATTGATACCGTTTCAATGTGCACTGCTTTATGGCTGAGCAAAATGGGCCACTTGGTATATGAATCTTGGAATATAATCGCACATTGTAGCACCACAAATGCTGGCCAAAAGGCCAAAAGAGGTGCTGATTGAATCGGTAGGCTCAAGGGTTCGATAATATGCAAAGGAAGGAGCACAAGCACCAACAAAAGAGACACGGAGCCGAAACCGATAAGCTTATAGTCTGCGTATCTTTCATGGATGCTGATTTGAGCAGTCAACCAGCAAGTGAGTAAAGTGACTGTCGCCACAAGGCCACAGCGGAAAAAGTGGGGCCATCTTGTGCTTTTGATCGAGAGTGATCCATATTGAGGGCTTCGTAGCAGGTTTATCAATTGGTATATCGCTGGAGGTGCTATCAATACGACCAAAAGTAGCAATAGCTGGACCAAGAAGCATGGATTGAAGGCATTCTCCTGCGTTGGTACCAAGGGGTTTAAAAGAGCCCTGGGCCCACATATGAGTGGTTCAGAAGGCTTGGGTATCATTGCTTGTGGTTTCAGTTGGAGGCATGAAGATAAGGCGGTGATCAGAGTCAGATCACGTGTAGAATTATTTTTGATTCCAAGGAACAAAAAAGGATTATCGAAGGCTTATATCTTCAAAACGGGGGCAAAAAGGTTGTGTAGGTTGGTGCCGTTCACTTTAGGTATGAGTGCATCTCGGTATCTGTCTCGGAAGCTCGTTTCGCTCTCGGATAAAATGTATGCATAGAAGCAGAGATAGAGGAGCCACACGAGTTAGGGCCGATAAGCGCCGATAACGCCGAGAGATTGGAGGAGCTATTAATTATTGGAAGAAATTTCCGTTTTTTTGTTCTCCAAGTCGAGTGGTTTTCGGAATGAGTTGGGTTTGACAGGTGATGAGGTGCATGATTCTTGGGCCAATAGGCGTGCGGATGAGTAAGGTATCTCCAGATTATCCGAATGTAGCGATCTGCAAAGAACTAAAGAAGGTGGATTAGCGGATCTGAGCGGAATGGGGATGTGAAACCTTCGAAATTTGAGCTATTCACGATTCCAATGGAGAGGGTTTCTAGGGTTAGATGGTTGATGTCTTTAGTGGAGGAAGTGATATTTTCATGATTGATCTTGTCAACCAGAGACTTCAATTGAGGTAATGAAGATCTCTTTCTGTTCAAGCAGTTTAGTCTTTTTAATGCCCGGCTGCCTCTTAGTGCTAAAGCTACCAGATGGACTGAGTTGCAGATGTGGAGAACCACAAACAACGAAAGATGAATCACTTAACATCTTTCAGAGCCTTAAGCCTTTGAATCCTTCTGGATCAGCTCACTCTACCTTGGTGGCAGTACTTAAGCAACTGCGCCGGAAAAATGCACCTCACCTTGTTACGCAGAGACCAAGAGATGCACCAGAGATTTTCAAAACTACACGGCAAAACAAAAAACACGAATTACGCAAACAAGTCCCCAAAATTCAACAAAAGCCACCACGACCCGGTACACACTACCTTCTTTTAAGCTTCGCCTTGCAGGTCAGGCAATTGGTCTCAGGAGGCCCGTGAGGTTTGCTATGTTAGACTACTCCACATCCCAACTCAGATCTACAGAGCCCCTCTTGGAAAACAGAAATTCAACCAGTTTCAGGGGCAGTCCAGCCTTTTAAAATCAGCCCAATTCACTATGGGCCAATCCCTCCAGGCATTTTCACCAATGTTGCATTCGCAGCCGAGGCTACATTCCTATTGCCCGATCCCACACGTTCTTCCTCTGCTCGCACCCATTCAAGACCCTTGCTATTGCATACATTGTCAAAACGGTATCCCTTGAACCTGGGATTATGTTTCAGTTGCTACCACCATACAGTACAACCCGCCGACGGTATATTTTTGTCAATTGCAGCGGTTTTGTGACCGATTGCTTCGTATTATGGTGCCCCACACAACAGCCGAGGGTTCACGTGCTAGGCGCGAAGCTGTACCGCTCGTCGGGTCCGAAAGAAATGAGCGAATGAGCGTCGAGAAAATCGCGACCATGGAAGATGCGAAAACCTGGAGAAAAACGATACTTCCGAGGGTGCCACCAGGGCCAGGTTGGCCAAAACAGGGGAAAAAGTTTTGCAATTTCGCTGGATATTTGTCGAATGGTTGTAGTTGCTGTGTAGATTTTTTCCGTTCAATTTACAGTATAAATAGAAGGCGGGTGCACCCAGGATCCCGTGGGTAAGGCACCCCCGGATCTGCCTTACAAATTTCCTCACCCTAATTGGCTATCCTCCAAACCTCTCCAGGAAAAAACCCTGCGATTATATAAATGCCCACAACTGCGCACTTTTTTTTTCTCCCCCAAAACCTCTAGAAGTCCAGACTACAATCACCATGTTGTCTGCATCCAGAAGAACCGCCGCCAAGGTGCCCAGATCGGTTCGTGGTCTTGCCACGGCCGGTCTCACCAGGGACTCCAAGGTGAACCAGAACTTGTTGGAGGACTTTTCCTTCATTCAGTACAAGAAGCACTTGGAGAACGTCGAGATTGTCAAGCAGAGACTTAACAGACCTTTGACCTACGCCGAGAAGTTGTTGTACGGTCACTTGGACAAGCCTCACGAGCAGGACATTGAGAGAGGTGTCTCCTACTTGAAGTTGAGACCTGACAGAGTGGCTTGTCAGGATGCCACCGCCCAGATGGCTATCTTGCAGTTCATGTCTGCTGGTATGCCCCAGGTCGCTACCCCATCCACCGTCCACTGTGACCACTTGATTCAGGCCCAGATTGGTGGTGTCAAGGATTTGGCCAGAGCCATTGACTTGAACAAGGAGGTTTTCGACTTTTTGGCCTCCGCCTGTGCCAAGTACAACTTGGGTTTCTGGAAGCCAGGTTCCGGTATTATTCACCAGATTGTCTTGGAGAACTACGCTTTCCCAGGTGCTCTTTTGATTGGTACTGACTCTCACACCCCTAATGCTGGTGGTTTGGGTCAATTGGCTATTGGTGTCGGTGGTGCCGATGCCGTCGATGTCATGGCTGACTTGCCATGGGAATTGAAGGCTCCTAAGATTATCGGTGTTAAGTTGACCGGTAAGATGTCTGGTTGGGCTACTCCAAAGGATATTATCTTGAAGTTGGCTGGTATCACCACTGTCAAGGGTGGTACCGGTTCTATCGTCGAGTACTACGGTGAGGGTGTTGACACCTTCTCCTGTACCGGTATGGGTACTATCTGTAATATGGGTGCTGAGATTGGTGCTACCACCTCCGTTTTCCCATTCAACCAGTCTATGGCTGACTACTTGAACGCTACCGGCAGATCCAACATTGCCGAGTTCGCCAAGCTCTACCAGAAGGACTTCTTGTCCGCTGACGAGGGCTGTGAGTACGACCAGGTTATCGAGATTGACTTGAACACCTTGGAGCCTCACATTAACGGTCCTTTCACCCCTGACTTGGCTACCCCAGTCTCTAAGATGAAGGAGACCGCCATTGCCAACGGCTGGCCTTTGGAGGTCAAGGTTGGTTTGATTGGTTCTTGTACCAACTCCTCTTACGAGGACATGACCAGATCCGCCTCTATCATTAAGGATGCTTTCGCCCACGGTTTGAAGTCTAAGTCTATTTTCACCATTTCTCCAGGTTCCGAGCAGGTCAGAGCCACCATTGCCAGAGACGGCCAGTTGAAGACCTTCGAGGACTTCGGCGGTGTTGTCATGGCCAACGCTTGTGGTCCTTGTATCGGTCAGTGGGACAGACAGGACATCAAGAAGGGTGACAAGAACACCATTGTTTCTTCTTTCAACAGAAACTTTACCTCCAGAAACGATGGTAACCCAGCCACTCACGCATTTGTTGCCTCCCCAGACATGGTTACTGCTTACGCCATCTCCGGTGACTTGGGCTTCAACCCAATCACTGACACCTTGAAGGATGCTGACGGAAACGAGTTCAAGTTGAAGGAGCCACAGGGTGTTGGTTTGCCACCAGATGGATACGACCCAGGTGAGAACACTTACCAGGCCCCACCAAAGGACAGAGCTTCCGTTGAGGTTGTCATTGCCCCAACTTCCGACAGATTGCAGCGTTTGACTCCTTTCAAGCCATGGAACGGTAAGGACGCCGAGAGATTGCCAATTTTGATCAAGGCTGTTGGTAAGACCACCACTGACCATATCTCTATGGCCGGTCCATGGTTGAAGTACCGTGGCCACTTGCAAAACATTTCTAACAACTACATGATTGGTGCCACCAACGCCGAGAACGGTGAGGCCAACAACGTGAAGAACCACTACACTGGTGAGTGGAACGGTGTTCCAGACACTGCCGCTGCCCTCAGAGACGCTGGCCACCCATGGGTTGTCATCGGTGACGAGAACTTCGGTGAGGGTTCTTCCAGAGAGCACGCTGCCTTGGAGCCAAGATACTTGGGTGGTTTCGCCATCATCACCAAGTCCTTCGCCCGTATTCACGAGACTAACTTGAAGAAGCAGGGTTTGTTGCCATTGAACTTCGTTGATGTTAAGGACTACGACAAGATCCAGCCTCAGGATGAGGTTGACATTCTCGGTTTGACCACCCTCGCCCCAGGTAAGAACCTTACCTTGAGAGTTCACCCAGAGGATGGTAGCCCATCTTGGGAGACCGAGTTGTCTCACACCTACAACGCTGAGCAGATTGAGTGGTTCAAGTACGGTTCCGCCTTGAACAAGATGGCTGCCGTCGCTGCTGAGAACTAAGCTCATCAACCCCTATTGTATTTAATCATTTAAGTTATAGTCTATTCGGTCATTAGAAGACGTCGTAGGTCGCGTCATTGGCGTTAAGACATCTGTAAATATACAGAAGTGAAAAAAGAATAATTGTAGACTAGAATCATCAAAAACAAAGCCCGACGCGGGGGTCGAACCCGCAACCTTGAGATTAAAAGTCTCACGCTCTAGCCATTGAGCTAGCCGGGCAAAGGTTGCCTCTTTCGACATCTGGCTAACTATATCGCTATATGGTATAAATGACTTTTGAGGCGAATATTACATTGTTTTTCAAAAGAGTCTTTGAGGTTTACACAATCTCCTCAAGAAGTTTCAAAGCCATAGCACGCAAATTCGCCGAAATAGACTCATTTCCTCGCGTTTCTGGCCATTTGGACGTATATAAGAGCCCATTTTAGCGTTTTCCAAACTTAAACAAGCCAATAAATATCTTGTTTAATACATAACTAGCTGTATTGATCTGTTAAGCTATCATAGTTCGATCAGGGGTTGAGATCGAGTGCGCTTTACGATAGCCAGTTGCTCAAAATTGACTCTCCCGCTCTTCTATTATGTCTGAAAGTAATGACAGTTCTCGAATTTCCGTAGAATACCTCTTGTTATCGGAAGATGGCGTGAACTAATGGCTGCAAAAAGTGATCGCGCAGATAACAATAGCTGTCATAAAAATCCACGATATGACATTGAAAACGACATATGCCGCAAATACAGATATTCAGAGTTGTCCGATTGTACCCCTTGAATGCTTCAGATTTGAAATTCCTTGTCG